AGCTGACCCTTCATAATGTGGGTGGGCCTCACCCAATCAGTCGATGGCCTTGAGTGAAAAGGCTGAGCTCCTCAACGAGAGAGGAATTTAGCCTCCAGGCTGCTTCAAGACGCAAGACTGCAACATGCACTCTTGCTGAAATTTCCAGCTGCCTCTGCTCTGCAAAGTTCACATTTGCCAGCCTCTGTAACCATGTGAGCCAACTTCTTAAAAAAAAAAATGTGTCTCCCTCCCACTCTCCACCCATACACACACACACACACACACACACACACACAATTTCCTATTGGTTCCGTGCTTCTCTGAGGAACCTTGACTGTGAAACAGGGACATCAGCAGCTGCCCGGGAGGACTTGGGAGGAGGAAAACCCAAAGCACTGAGTGGATAAAGGGAAGTCTGCTCACAGGTGAAAAAGAAGGAAGGGGTGCGGAGGGGAGCAGAGGCGTGCGCAGGGCAGCCTGGGGGAGTCGGGCCTACTGAGACAGGTGTCTAGGGCAGGGACGCGGATGGAAGACGGGGTCGAGTGGGAAGGCCCTGCCAGGTCGCAGAGGAGCCGAGGGTCGAGCCCAGGTGCCACGACCCGAGCAGAGCAGAGCGAGGCTGCGTTGGCCCGGGCTGTGCACAGAGCACCTGCTCCCGACTCCTTAGCGCTGAGCAGGTCTAAAGCGTGCCAGCACTCTACGCGCCAGCTGCCTCCAAGCCACTCCCAAGTCTGGCGGCACAGCAGCACAGACGAGCACCTGGCTGTATATAAGACAGGAGCAAAATGACAGGGAGGGACCGCGCCCTGGAGGAGGAGGGAGGGGCCGGTGCAGAAAAGCCTCTGAGCCAGCGCCACCTGCCACTGCAGCCAGAATGGCGAAGCCGGCCTCCCCGTCTCTGTCCCCTTCCACCCTGCCCTTCGTCCGATCCGTCAGGGCTGGCTCCCCATTTCCAGGCCTGGCCACTTCGTCCACTCCCTGCAGCCACCCTGGTCCCACCGCCCGACCACGGCAGCCGTCTCCTAACCGTAATCTCCCTGCTTTGCCCCTGCCCACCGCAGGGCTGGCCAGCAAGGCAGGGACTTCGCCCCACGGGCCTTGGCGCCCCTGACTGGCGACCGGGGTGCTCACGGGACTGTGGGAGCACCGGCAAAAGCCTTAAAAAAGAGCCGGCTCCAAATGGCCTCTGCGAAGCCTACTCGGGCCCCCTTGCCCCTGTGCCGTTCCGCACAGCACGGAACAACGGTACAGGCTGTTCAGTGAATGAATGAATCCACAGAGACATTTACCACGTCCCCTCATCTGCCCCTGCTCAACGGCGATCCTCCGGGAAAACAATGCTTCAACTGGGGCATCGACAACAGTTTTATGAGATCATATAAAAATACCGTTTAAATGCGACTGTAAACTTTATATTTATGTTTCTCCTACCAGCCAGTAAGCCCCGTGCGGAATTCTCTGAGGACAGGAGCTCCCCCAGCGGCGACACGGGGAAAGCCCTCCCGAGGGGCCACGTGGATGGCCGGGCTGAGAACACAGGCAGCCGGGCGTGTCCAGCAGGGAGGCGGCCAGGTGACGGGCAAGGCCTGGCTCCCAGCCCAGTGCCACCACCTACACCTGTGTGGACCTGCTGTGGGATGGGCTGAGGTGTGTCCCCAAAATTCTCATGTGGAAGTCCCAACCCCCGGGACCTCAGAATGTGACCATAATTGGAGAGAGAATCTTAGAAGATGTGAAATCTTAAAAGAAGTTAAATGAGGTCATGTAGGTGGGCCCTGGCCTGTTATGACCGGTATCCTTATCAGGACACAGGCACACAGGGGGACGGCCATGTGAGGACATGGGGAGAAGATGGCCAGCCATGTACAGGCCAAGGAGTGAGGCCTCTGGAGAAACCCACCTGCCCACACCTTGACCCATGACTGCCAACCTCCGGAAGAAGTTCTTTGGAATTTTTAAGCCGCCCAGTCCGTGGTGCTTCGTCACGGTGGCCCCAGCAAGCTAACGCACCTGGGCAGAGTCACCTCTCCTCTCTGACCTGTAAACTGGAGAAAGCCGCCCCTGACCGCGCAGGTCACTGCCAGGGTCAGGAGGCCCTCCGAGGCATCTGCTGTGACCTGCACAGTAGACACGTAATAAATGTCAGCCAACTGCCATGTGACTGCGTGTGACGGGCAGCACGTGTGTGTGACTGTCCCATCCAGTCTGCCGACAACCCAGGGGGGTGGGCACATCAGAGGACCCCACGTAACAAATGGGAAAACGGAGGCATGGGCAGTTACATGGCTTTGCCCCCGGACCTCAAGGCGAATTAGGTGGTGGAGCCCTGGCAGAATGACCTTGGCCGTGCGGCTTCCCGGCAACCACAGCCGCCGTCGCTGCTTCTGGGTGGGACGTGCCAGCCCCAAGGGATCCCAGCAGGTGAATCCCGCCCGAGCTGCACAAAGTGTGGCCAGCCCGGCACCTCGGGCAGCCGTGCCGGTGACGGCCGCGGGCCTGGAATGCTGAGTGTCTGTGGATGGGAAGGGGCACACCTGTCTCCAAGCTCCAGGAGCCCAGCCTTCATCCCCCAGGCCCTGGACTCTGCCTCTGCTCTCCATGTCACTGTCCCGAGCCAGGGGCCGAGTCGGGGCCCAGGCCCCAGCTCCGCTCCCCACCTGGGGGCTGGACCCCAACCAGCACCCCCACCGCCGCTGCCGAGGCCCAGCTCTCAATAAGACAGGACACCTGCAGCCACACCCCGGCTGTCCCCTCCTGGGGCCCCAGGTGCTGGAAGACATACCAACTGCAGACGTGGGTATAACCTCCCCCATCCTACCCAGAACAGCCCAGACCCTCGGCCACTCAGGCTACCCGGGAGCAAGCTCCCATCCCCCCTTCTCTTCTCCCACGGACACCACAGAGCCCCAGCCCGCTCTGCCCTCAAACCACCCAAGCGAGAACACCGATGGGCTTTTTGTTGTATCCGTGACACTGCATCTTTAGGACACTGAACTGGCCGGTTATGATGACGCTGCGTTGCAGACGGGAAAAAACAGGTTCTTCCTGGAGGCTTTATGTCACCTGTCCGAGGGCACCGAGCCAGTCAGGGGCCAAGCGGAAGTTTAAAGCCAGGTCTGTGTGGTGAGAAAGCCCCCGCTCCTCCATTGGGACAGGGTGCCCGTCACAGCCGCGCTCTAACTGGATGCGCACGGCCGGCCTGGCACCCACCCGGTGATGGTGCTGAGCGGCCCCAAAGCTCAGTCTCGCCCCACCAGAGCTCCGGTGCCCCGTCACAGAGCCAGACCCTGCTGCAAACTCTTTAATACCCTCGCCTCCTAACTCCCAACCACAGGCCCCTCGGGTGGTACCGCCATGACCCCATCTCGCAGGCGAGGGAGATTACCGCGCGGAGAGTAACGTAGCTGGTCCGAGGTCATAGAGAGACGCGACGGGACCAGGAGTGGAATCCCGGTGGTACCACCACTGACCTTATACCCGTTTTAACAAGGGACAAGCTGAGGCTCAGAGGTCGAGTGCCCGTCCCCAGCCCCAGCCCGGGAACACAGCCTCCACTCGGAGCGGAGGGGAGCATTGTCCACCAGGGCGAGCGCCCCGTCCGCGGAGCTGGGAGGCCCGCACCCCCCCCACCTTGCTCTTTTCCTGCTGGAACTCGATCTGGATGCTAGTGAGCTTGGCCCGCAGCTCCTCGTTAGCCATTTGCACGGCATCAGTCTCCATCTCGGGCCTCTCGCCCTTGCTCCGGCCCTTCTTAGACATGCTTCCTCTTGGCTTGAGACGCGGAGATCCCGCGGTTCACACCCACCAGCCAGCAGGCGCCGCTCCGGGCTCCGCCGTGCTAACCAGTGTTGCGGGGCTCAGCTTGTCCTCCGTGTAAACCACCATCACTTGGGACCCTGGGAAGAGGGAAACGGGGTTAGCGGAGAGAGAGAGAGGTTGGCGACCCTGCCTGGGCACTCAAATGGCAAACCAGCCGTTTGCCGGGGCCTCCCCGCCTGGGCCGCGCACCTGCTCATCGCCAGGTGGCCCTGCCATTCCCAACACTGACCCAGCGCTTCTCAGACTGGCGGCCACAGAAGCTCGTTAAGGCCGAGAGTCCTGGGCCCTCCCCCCGGAGACTCTGATTTGCATTTCTCACAAGCTCCCAGGTAATGCTCCCAGGCGACCACACCTTGAGTAGTTTGGATGTACTACTGTCCTTATCAAGAGGAGACCACATCACCGGAGCAACCCGTAGGCCACCGGCTGCAAACGTCAGTGAGCCTCAGTTGCCCGGGGCGCGCGTTTCAAAAGGCAGGTCCCTGGGGAGCCCAGAGCTCGGGGCACAAGGAGGCGCGTGGTGGGACCAAGGACACTGGATGTTCCGTCCACACTCCCAGGTGACTCTGGAAGAGGATCTGAGGACCGCACCCTGAAAAACGGGCCGTTATAAAGATCAGTGGCTCCCCTATGCCGTCCCCGGCCTAGCACAGCACTGGCCACTCACACTGCTAGCTCTGTGCCCCGTGGAGGTGACGGCGGTCCCTCCAGGCCTCTGTGCCCGCCTGGCCAGGCCGGAGCTGGTTTCCTGGTTCGCGGAGGCGCCATGATGAGCTAACTGCTCCTCCAGCACCCATATTTCTCCAGGGGAGGCCCGGGCCTTCAATTTGGTGGAGGTGCCCTCCCAGCCACAGGGTGACAAAGCCCTAAGATAGGGTCTAGACTGACAGCTAATGGCACCTACATCCAGGTGACTCCTGTCATCTTTCACTAATCAGCACAACTGCCCTACGAGGTAGGTGATGTGGCCCCGTGTCACAGATGAGGAAACTGAGGCACAAAGAGGCCGAGTGCTAGCAACAGTCACACGGCCAAGATGAGAAAACAGCATTAACCTGGTCAAGGTCCACAGCTGGACTGGCCGTGGTGAGTCTGGACCCAGCCCCCCCAGCCCCCCAGCCCCCAGCACTGTGCTAGCCTAACCCGATGCGGCACTGCCCCCTGACAGCATGATTCTGCTCCCCTGGTCCCCTTGCTCTGCCTCACTGTTGTTTCCCACGTGACAAACCACGCGGGTTCCAAACAAGCAGGGCCTGGGTCTGTTTTGCTTCTCACTGTATCCCCTGGGCCTGGAATCAGAGCTCAGCATGCAGGAGGCCCTCCAGAAGTATGCGTTGAATGAGTGAGTGAATGAACGAGTGAATGAACGAGTGAGCGAACGAATGAATGAGTGAAGCCCTATGATGCATCAAGTCCTGTGCTAGGAGCTGGGGAGCGTGTGGTCCTTGCAGCACCTGGAGAGGTAGGCACAGATGTTAGGGCCATCCTAGAGGTGAGAGAAGATCGAGGCACAGAGAGGTGCAGTAAGCTACTCCTAAGCCACAGAGCTAGCACCGGGGTCAGATCGCCTTGGGAGAGCATGCACAGCGAGAAGAGAACCTTCCAGCATGCAGGAATGCCAGCCTTCGCAGGTGGAGCCGGAGAGACGAAGCCAGCAAGGGAGGCCATAAACAAGAAGCCTGGAGCTAGAAGCTGTAGATGCTCAGTGTTTGTGAGCGGAGGTCGAGCGTGACCTGATAGGCCTGGGGGCGCTGGAATGTCTAGCCATTTGGGAAGGCAGAGGTGAGTACGCCACAGCCCTGGCTGGAGTAGAGGAGCCAGTGTTTTCTCAACATGCCATGAACGATTATCCAGGCACAATCAGCATCCCCACCGATTGATTCCAGAAAGGTCCGTTCTGTCTTCAGAGAAGTATGAACTCCCTTTGCTCTCATGTGACTTATTAGAGCATAATCCATAATTCATTCCTCGCTGCCCTGACCTGCCTGCCTTTGTCGGCACAGAAGCTCTCGGAAGCTGCCCCGCCCCTGAAGAGTGAGCAGGGAGCACTCTCCAGATCCATCACCCAGAGGGAGGACTCTTCTCCTGTCCATTCCATCCTGTGGCCCAACGACACCACCTCTAGGAACACACTGTAAGGACTAACCAGAGATACGGCCTATGTAGAAACACAGCTCTCCTTCCCAACAATCCAACACTCAGCCCAATGGACGGTTGAGTAATGACACCAAACCACAGGGAGAAAGATGGACGAGTGAAAAGACAGAGTCAAAGAACAAATACAATTTGTGATCTCAGTTTTCAGAAATATATATGCTTGGGTCGCCTGAGTGGGTCAGTGGGTTGAGCGTCTGACTTCGGCTCAGGTCAAGATCTCACCGTTCGTGAGTTCGAGCCCCGCGTCGGGCTCTGTGCCGACAGCT